GTAATTTATTTATGATAAAAGTATTGTCAACTTATCCTCTCAAATGCCCCATCTTAAAAATAAAAAATAACTCAAATAGAGTTTTTGGCAAGGCAATTTTTTACTGGTGATGATTTTTTTTTTTTTTTAAATATTAAGGATTGAGAAGAGGGATTATGGAATTACAATAAGTACTCAAAAAATAAATTTTAAAAAGTATTCATAATTTAAAATATGTGAATAAGATTTATTGTCCACCATTTATATCCATACCATACAATACAAAATTATTTTCCATTTCCATGAACATTATGGTTTAATACAACCATAGGTCAATCACTACATGTGCATGTTTGTTATTCCATAACTTTTGAATCCTCATAAATGGATCCCAAAAAAGCTCTTATTATGTAACAGTACTACTATACTTCCATACTATCAATCAAAAACCTTATGTTTTTTAAGGTGCACAAAACACAACCTTATAGTTGGTACTCGTAGGGCACGTAAATGTGCTAGTCTGATCATCCTTGGGGTAACTATAGGCATCTGGGCACCTATCCTTAAAGAATTTTGAATAATTTGTGGGTCCACAGCTTCCAGAATTACAACAGTACTCATCGGTCTTAAATACTGTACACGGGTTATTACACCCGCCCTGGGCCCGCAACTCATTCGGGCATTGCCCGTTTATATCCGCATTACATTTGATGCCCCGAGTGCACCCATTGGAAGTAGGGCTAAATTCCATCGGCACATTGAACCCGTCCACCAGGGATATGTCAAAGAAGTCCAAGTTGTTGAATTGGTTTAGTGCATATTCGGCTAGTGTGTTAGGTGGTTTACCATAGGCTTGGCACTTTAGGAGCCCATTGCAGTCACCAGTCTGGCACCCACCTCGACCTGCTACATCGAAGAAGCAACCGGTTCGGGCCCATACTCGGGCTTGCATTGTGCCTGGGGCGGGGCTGATGGTCCATGTTTGGCCCCCATCAAGTTGTCGACCACCACCAGGCACAGCTGCTCCCTAAACAGTATAAGGGCAACTATTTATAATATCGATATTGGCTGCATTGGTGTAAATGAAGATGAGAGAAATGAGAAGCAAAATGGGTAGGGAGAGAGATTTGAAAAAGCTCATGTTTGGGGACTATGTGGAGTGGGAACTATAGATATATTTGGGATCAATTAGGTGGTGGTTTGTGGAATTTTGAGAGAATAAGTTTTGTATTTGTCACGATCTAAACCTGTCCCTAAGGGTTTAGCATCATAACCGGCCAGTAATCCGTGATTACCAAAGGCCTGCTTAACAGTAATGACAATAGTACAGAGTAAAGGGCTGGCAGAAGCCAAACAGTAAATAAAAGATGTCTAATGAGCCGTGAAAATCAGAATAGAAAAAGTCCTTTATGGACAAAACCACATTCATAACCATGAACATACATACATATCAAATGCACATAACAAACAGGTTAGGGACCCAGTCCCTTTACCATAACTGTATAATCAAGTCTTATTCAGTCAGTACAAAACAGGGACAAAAGGGTGAATCTGAAGCACCCCAAAAACAACCTTGGCTTGAGCAGACTCGAAACCTCGAAGTCAGGCACAACGGTTGGCTGGACAAAACATAAGCTTAACTCGACGCTTCTAGCTTCGGTTTGGTGCCTGGCTACCTACATACATATATAAATTGTGAGGTAAAACCCAGTGAATAACAACTGTGTAAAAGGGTTAAGAATGAATGTCCTTTCAGTAATTAAAAAAGTCATTTGCATCAGTAAATCAGTTATTCAATCAGTGGTTCATATTTCATGCCCTACCAGTCATTTAGAAATCATATCAATCATACGTGGTACATTCAATAGCAGGACAGTACAGTAGGTCTGAATAGACCGAACAGTCAGTTGATGGCCATCGAAACAGTATACAGTATTGGTTCCAAACATTGGAACTGACAGAGATCTCTGTAACAGTAGTAGTAACAGTAACAGTAATAGTACAGTAGCAGTAACAGTAACAGTAAGTTGCTATGGATGCCACGAGTACAGTTCATAAAATAGGACAAATATTCATTCAGTAAACGATGTCATTTCAGAAAGCAGTATAGTCAATCGTTCAGAAAACATTTATAATTGAACATATCTTTACAACATCGTTACTCACCGAGTACTGGGCTATAGGCAAGCTAATCAGCGTCCTCGGATGCCAACCCTACATAGTTGCAGAACGAACACACACTAAATTACACACTCGGGATTAATAACTTAGCCCCTAACTTGACTCGGTATGGTTCTACATCAATATGCTCATTACGATGCCTTAAACATGGCCTAGGAATGCCTAGGATGGGATGAGGATGCAAAAATGCACTTAACAACATTTTTCAAAACTTGCTAAAAACAGGGGTCTCGCTCGAACGTGGCGAGCCCACCGAAACAGAAAAGTCACTCGAGCGCAGACTCCCTCGCTCGAGCGGTCTGCAAAAACATGAAAAGTACTGGTTGCTAAAATTCTCTGTTCAATGCTCGCTCGAGCGTGAGGCATAGTTCGTCGCTCGAGCGTGCGTCTGCACATGCAAAAACCTGAGAGCTTGCAATTTACGCTCGAGCCAGCATTCCGTCGCTCGAGCGGAGCTCCGAACACAAAGGTGGTCGCTCGATCGTGGAAGCCAAAATCTGGGTTTTCCAGATTTGCTCCCAAAGCTCAACCCAAGAATCAAACATATCAAAACTCATCCTTTGGAGCCAATTTTCTGGAAAACACTTAGAAACCCATAATACCACATGTTTTTAAGATCATTTCATAAATCAAGCCCAAAGGTGTGACAATTTGAGCACAAATTTAAATGTAAACAAGAAGAACAATGCAAAAACATAACATGCATGAGTTCTTATGAAGTCTAATGCTCCAAAGCACGATCAAATGCAAGATTGACATAAAAAACATGGTGAATTTCTAGAGTATAACCATAACATGGATATGCATGTGGAAATTCACATGAAAATGATCTCAAGATTCAATAATATGGACATGCATGTATGAATGGACTCTCGAATCAACACTTTAAGCTAATTCTTGATTCTAATCTCCAATTTTTCCATGAATCATGCATGCAACAACTTAAATTTACAATTAAGGAAATGAATTTCCTACCTTAAGTCTTGAATTCCAAGTATAGAAGCCTAATCTCTCAAGTTTTCTTCAGTTTCCTCTAAGTTTCAAGCCAATCTCTTGTTGAATCAATTTTTCTTCCAACACACTCTCTCTCTCTCTCTCTCACGTTTTTGGTCTAGAGAATGGAAAAGATGATGTATCAAACATATATGAAGTGGAAAAGAGTTAGTCTTGAATTAATCCACTCAATCGCAAACATGTAATAATCCTAGATTCAATTAATTTAGCATTATTTATTCCTATTTAGTCATTCCAAATTGAATTTTAATTAAACATACCATAAAATTCTATAAATCCTAATTAGCATGTAACACCAATCAATTTCTAAATCGGTCGCCAATAAGGCTTTCAATTCGTAATTTGAAAATTAAAACATGAACAGATCATTCAGTAACAAACAGATAGAAATGCATTCTAAATAACACACTCATGTAATCAAATTAGAATTTCATCTTAATCAATTGCTTATCATGCTTAAGCATAGATTAACGCTAATCAGAGGTGAGGGTTTTCACAGTATTTATAGGAGGAGGGTGACCATATGTTGGTGTGTAGGAGTGTGAATACATAATTAATTTTTGTGGAAATTTTATGGAATTTTGGTAGATGATGATGAAATTGTTTGGCTTGACTTGAAGATAAATCAACAAATGAAGAGATACAAACAACCAAGTCCATGAATTTTTTTTCTCTTTATTTTCTATCCTTTATTTATTTATTTGCTTTTTTTCCGTGTTTACAATTGTAAAAAATATTTTCAAAAAAATATATAAAAAGAAGAAGAAGAAGCTAGAATAGTCTATAAAGTTTTTTTTCCTACAAGAGAGCTTTACATGACCCACAACAAGCTATTCCTTAATTAATAAGTTGGCTTTGAATCTTGGATTTAGAGAGAAAATGTAAATCCTTCACAAATTCAAAATCCAATCACCATTTTTCTTTTTTCTTTTTTTTTTTACAATTTTTTTATCATTGAATTTTTATTTTAATAAATATTAACGATTGAGAAAATGTTTAGATTACAACAATTACTATCCTTTTGAGATCAAATTATTTTGTTCATTTTTTTTTATTTATTAGCGATATTTTTAAAATTTTGTCGTTAAGAGTCTTTTTTAAAATTTTTGGGATTACTTTTTTTTTACTATTATTCTCATGATAACAGAAATTAGTCTCTAAATATTATTTACAATAAATCTGTATTTTTTAGAACAAAAAATTTGATCCCTTAAAACTATTACATGTTGAGTATTGTAAAGAGTTTAATTAAGACATGACTTACTATGTTTGGTTTTGATTTTTCTGCTAAAAAAGCACAAAGGACTGCATATGTCAATAAGATAAAATATCATATCCAAACCATAATCATTGTACTTTTTCTCTTACAAAAGTCAAAAAAGTCAATAATAAAACCAAAAGAGATTAAAATAGTTTAAAAAATCAAGATATTTTAACTCTTCCCAAACAAAAACTATAATGTATAATAAGGCCATCTCTCTCTATTGCTCATGCGAGAGACTTTGTTGTAAAATTAAGATGATTAAAGTTTTATGTTAAATTTACTAAATCATTTAGCATGACACTTTGCATGTGACCTATGTATTGATACACTACCTACGAAGAAATGGATTATTTTTATTTATTTATTTATTTATTTTTATCAGCAAAAAAGTGGAGTCTATTACACCATTGCGATGCTGACAAATTAAATGGTAAGTAAATTGGGTATAAAAATTCAATATTAATATGATAATCATATTATCTCATCTTATTTTATTTATTTTGTGATGTGTTACTACTGTATTAATAACAAATGCGAATGACACAGAGAAAAGACTCAAATAAAGTCATAAATTATCCAAACAAGAAATTTTTTCTATATTCATGCCCGATTAGGTTTATGTTTATTACAACCATAGGTTACAAATACATGTGCACATCACTACATGTGCTTGAATTTATTCTTCATAAGCTTTGAATCCTCATTAATGGATCCCAAAGCTCTTATTGTGGAACACTAGTACCACTACTTGCATAAGTACTATCAAAATGGAATTTAAGGGCAAAACACAACCTTATAGTTGGTTCCCCCATTGCAAGTAAATGTGCTTGTCTGATCATCCTTAGGGTAACTATATGCATCTGGGCATCTATCCTTGAAAAACCTTGAATAATTTGTGGGTCCACAGTTTCCAGAATTGCAACAATACTGATCGGTCTTAAATACGGTACACGGGTTATTACACCCGCCCGGTGCCCGCAACTCATTCGGGCACTGCCCTTTTATATCCACAGTACATTTGATACCCCGGGTGCACCCATTGGAGGTAGGGCTAAAATCCATCGGCACATTGAACCCGTCCACCAGGGATATGTCAAAGAAGTCTAAGTTGTTGAATTGGTTTAGTGCATATTCAGCTAGTGTGTTAGGGGGTGCACCATAAGCTTGGCACTCGCGGAGCCCGTTACAGTCACCGGTCTGGCACCTGCCCCGACCTGTTCCATCAAAGGTGCAGCCGGTCCGGGCCCATACCCGGGCTCCCTTTGTGCCTGCAGGAGGGTTGATGGCCCATGTTTGGCCGCGGTCAAGTTGTCGACCACCACCGGGTACGGCAGCAGCCCAAACAGTAAAAGGGCAATTGTTTATGATGTTGATAGTGGCTGCATGGCTGTAGGTGGAGAGGAGAGCAATGAAAAAGAAAATGGGAAGGAAAGAGATTTAAAGAAGTTCATGTTTTGGGTATATGGATTGGGAGCAATATTGGGATGTATTTGAGTTCCATAAGTTGTGGTTTTGTGGCATGGTTATTTATAGGAGTAAGATGGTCAAGGGTTGGTTTGTGTGAGTGCTTTTTTGTTGTTATCTTTTGTGGAAATTCTGCTTGGGAAATTTTATGGGTTGGGTAAGTTACAATATGTGGTCTTTTATTATATTTTATTATGGTATTAGTTATAATTTATTAATCATTCGGTTATAATTTATCATGGTGTTAGTTATGACATATTGTAATGCTGATTATGATCTGTTGTGATTATTATTTTGATTGTAATTAAAAAGATCTTTGTTATACCTTATATAGTGTTTGATTATAACTTATTATTTTTTCAGTACAAACACGAATGGTATTTGGGCCTTACAATAGCCAATGTTCTACTGCTTTTTGGGATTATTTTAGGTCTTATTTTGATAATCTGAATCATTCATTTTTTAAGATATATCGAGTAGAACATATTTTGACAATTTGATCTTTTTGAGAATATATTATACTCAATATATCTTAAAAATAAATAATTTAAATTATCAAAATAAGATCAAAAATAAACCTAAAATACTGCACAACAGTGGGCTATACAGCCTATTCCCATTGTGACCCTTACTTTTTGTAGTTTTCTTTTGCAAAAATGTTTCGGCCCTTTTGTCCCCACTCCCTTTGATCCCTTCTCTTTCTCATTGGTTATATATATATTTTTTTTTGCTCTTTCAATCATCATTCGTCACGTGTGTGCAGAATGATGGGACTAGTGATTAGAGTAGTCTCTATCATGGCTCTTTCTTTTGTGAAAATTTAGATGATGTACATGTACTACAGTATTATATAAGTGTTTGGCTGGACTTTAAGCCAACAAATTGGAGAAATAAATAGTCATAGGATGGGCTGTCATAGTGGACGGGCTGTCATAGTCGTGTCGGTGATGTCTTTTTTCTTTCTTTCATTTATTTATTTTTTCTTTTTATTTTTGCTTACAATTGTAAAAAAAAATTAGAAAATGTTTGAGGTTCACAATTTTTATGGTCATAATGGTTCAAATTGTCAAAACGACGTCATTTTGGGTGCAAAACATGCCAAAACGACGTCGTTTTGACAGTTTTAAGTCATTGTGGTCACAAAAATTATGACCCTCTAACATTGTTGAAAAAAATTTGCTAAGAATTTACTAGTATATTATAACAAGTTTTTACTTTACAAGAGTTCTGCATAACTCACGAGTTTTTCTTCTTCTTTTTTATAATTTTAAATTTGTATTTGAATTTAGGGGTGATTATTCAGTACTCTCGGAGTATGGACACGTGGTGCTCCATCAGGTTTTGATTGGTAGAGAGACACAAGGGCCCACGATTTATGTTGGGGATGGGGAAACAACATGAGACTAACTAATTGATAATTGGTTTGAAGTATGGACACGTGGTGCTCCGGGAGTATTGAATAATTTCTCTGAATTTAGATACGAATTACAAATCCTTATTCAAATCTAAAATTCAGAACAAAGTTTGAATGTCATTACACTATATTATTACAACTTAGGATAGTGATATAAACTGACATTTTAAAATTAGTGTTATAGTTATTCAAATCCAAAATTCAGAACAAAGTTTGAATGTCATTACGCTATATTATTACAACTTAGGATAGTGATATAAACTGACATTTTAAAATTAGTGTTATAGTCATTTAAAACATATATGAAACGTACTATATGACGGGTTTATTTTTTAATAATTTTTTTTTATGAGTATAACAAAAACACACAAGATACTGTGAGGATAAGGCAGGACTTTAGGGCACGGTAAGAGCCTTAATTTTATAATTTTTCAAGGTTAATTTTCAGAATTATTATAATATTTAAAACACACAAGTGTTGAACAAATGCAAACACTGTTATGAACTAATGCAAATCATGAACAAACAATACAAATCCAAACACTGTTATGAAGTTGCCGGGAAGATGCATTTCTTAGTAAACAAAATAAAGTTTTTTTCTTTAAAATATATATATATATATATATATATATATATATATATTCAGGCCCAAAAGTTAAACTCACTTCTTAGAATGTGTTAAGAAATTGATTGGTTGATAATTAAATATTTTCTAATTATCGACCAATTAACTTCTTAACACATGAGTCTAAAAAATAAATCTAAAAAGTGAACTTATATATTATTTTTTAAAAAAAAAAAACATAGTTGATGAGTTGTCAAATGTGATAGTAGGCTGTAGAGAGTAAATAGATATGGTAGTCCACGATGGGAGATAGCTCGTGACTAGGAATATAAAAATCGCCTGCGGCTCGTGGTCTGTTAAAACCTCGTCTACGGCCCAGGATGGGCTCGATCCATTTAGGCCAGAGCCTCTGGGCTTGGGCCTGAGCTATCATTTTGAAGCCCAGCCCAACTCATTGGCTCGTTTAAGACCCACTCAAGACCCGGCCCGCCAGAGATCCAGTGCATTTTTTAGTGAAAAATAATAAAATTTTGGTAGAAAAAATTTTAAAAAACAAAAAAAAAAGATCAGGTCTGCCAAGTCCGAGGCCAAGTCTAGCCCACCGACCTACTCAAGGCCTGAATACCCCTGAGTTTGGACTGGGCCCAATTTTTTTGGCTAGTGGCCCGACCCGGCCGGTATTTTGGCGGGAGCCCATGAGGCTCAATATGGGCTGGCTCGAGCCCAAGCCCGAGCACAAATAAGCCGGACCAAATTTACACGCCTACTCGTTACTGCTGGTTGTTGAAGCTCTTCAGATCTAACTAACAATGGTCGGAAGGTGGCTGGATACTGGCACAAGGCGCCAGTGGCTAGAAGTAGTGCGTGAAAGACGAAAAAATTTTTTTAACCAAATGAAAAACTTTTTCTTTTAAAATCAATTTTTTTTATTTTTAAACGAAATAATAGAACAAATAAATTATCAATTCTAGTTTAATAAAAATAAATAAAATCAAAAGTTGACAAAACAAGAATCACGTTACAGAATTATTCCTAACAAGTCACAGTGGAATATGCGAATTTATTTTTAGATGGTTGTGGAATATGCGAATTTATTTTTAGATGGTTGTGGAATAAGCAACTTGATCCGGTTAAAAAAAAAAAAAAAAAAAGATTTGGATGTTTTCCTAAAAATTAGAATTAGGATCCCCTTGCATTTCCTCCTTGCATTTTTTGTTTGTAGGGCCATTGGGCTCACTTTTAGGCCCAATTTTGATAATCCGAACCGTTTATATTTTAAGATTTGTTCAATATATCATACTTGTAAAAAATCAAGTTGATCGGATATCAGAAAGTATGTGTTTGGAAAACTCGAACTAAAATCTATTTTTTTAAAGAATTTAGTAAACAGTTTTCTGAACACATACTTTCTGATATCCGATCAACTTGATTTTTTGCACATATGATATACTAAACAAATCTTAAAATATGAACAGTTCGGATTATCAAAATTAGGCCTAAAAATGGGCCCAATAGCCTTGCAAGTAAGAAATGCAAGGAGAAAATGCAAGGAGAGGATCTTGATTCTAAAAATTAGCCCACCAATTTGGATGTCTCCACTTAAAAATTGGACTACCGTGAGTTCGGCACAGGCTCATTTTAATAATTCAAATTATTTATTTTATAAAGTTTTTTTTGAGAATATTATTCATAACAACATGATCAAATCATATATGTTTTCAAAATATTGATTTGTCTTTAAAAATCATATTAGTTGTTTATTTTGTTTAACGATAAATGTAATCTGATCTCTCTGGTTACAGTTATCCAATCAATATAATTTTTTGTATGAATAATCTTTTCAAAATATCCTACAAGATGAACAAATTAATTATCAAAATGAGTCCCATGATAAGTTTAATTTGACCCGACAATACCCTCGAATTGAAATTATTACTTGAGACAAACCACCTTCTAAAATTTCAGTAATGATAGAGACCCCCACAAAACACAACTCCACAATTCCAAAAATGATCTAAACCATTCATGTCACTGTTAGACACAACCTCTAAAAAAAATTCAAACATATCAACAATCAATACATCAATGAAAATTGTGAAAATCCTCTTTTGTGGGGATCGCAAACATTTTCCCTAAAATTTAGTGATCTCCTCCTACATTATTAACCTTGGACCACAACTACAAATGGATAGACAATATTAATGGTGGAAAAGTCTCCCCATAGTAATATTACAAATTCATAATTTTTAATCAGAATTTTATTCAGATTATCAAGTTAGGACTTTTCTTAGGTGTGCCTTACATATGGTATGCAAGGCACCTACACCCTTCTATTTTTGCATTTACACATTTACACTTACACCCTTTAATGGCAACAATTGGGTTGCATATGGTGTGCAACCGTAAGTGGGTTGCACACCATAGTAGAACCCATCAAGTTATGGTCTAAATCTTTTCTATACAAGACCTTACATAACACCATTTTAATCTGTACCACACAATCATTTTCTAAGTAAAATTCTTATTCATTTTATTAGGAGAGAGTGATTCAATCCATATATTCACCTCTTCCACTGTTATTTTTTGAAAAATAAATTTTGAAGGAAAGAATGAAGAGAGATTTTAACCAGGTAGCGTTATAATGTAAAAATAATGAGATATGCTACGCGTCACAAGTGATAGAAAAATATTGTACAAATTTTTTTTATTAAATGATATGTTATGCAGTAATAAAATTTTGAAAGTTTGAAACATAATCTATTTCAATAATATGATAGACGTTATGTTATTAGTAAACATTTTTATTTTATTTTATAAAGACGTATTAGGAAAATACCTGGTAGCTCGAAGCTACCAGGCTCGAAATGGCTCGAGAGGAAGAGAGGGAGAGGGAGAGGGAGAGAAAGAGAGGGAGAGGAGAAAGAGAAGGGAGGGAGAGGAAGAAGGTCGGCGTCGTCGCAGCCCCGCCCCGCCCCGCCGTCGTCGCAGCTCCGGCCGCCGCTGCTGCTTCCTCCTCCGTCGCA